TAAACTCATAACCTGACCAGCACTCCTCCACAGCAGATTCTCTTTCAGTGCTTCCACAGCAGTGCTCTGGACTCCCTACTAAGTATTTGCTTGCTAAAAAACTTAAAAGTCAACTTTGACATCTTTTACTCACTGCCCAGTATAAACTGTATCAAAATATGCTGATTTTTTTTGAGCTCATCCTCCACTTGTCTTCATCTTCTTCACTACCTCCAAGGTATCATTCATCATCTCCTTTCTGAGTTACTGCTAATTTCTTTCTAACCCAACTGATCATCCCTCATCACCCCAGCTTCTTCCAATTATTCTTACACTAGAACCCAGAATATTCTCAAAATTTAAATCTGATTGTGTTAACCCATCTCCCTCCTGTTAAACCTTGAATTCCTTCTCACAGTCTTTAAAATGAAGATGTATGACTGCATGGTCTGGCTCATTTACCTTTCTGTTCTCATTTTTCACTATGCTCCTTGCCTGTTTTAGTCACTCAAACCCTCTTCTTCCCAGAGCAGTGTTCACCACATTCCATCCTGCAGGGCCTCTGCAGATGCTCTTCCTTCTCCTTGGAAATCTGCTACCAACTTTCAAATTTATCTTTTCTTATTCAAGTAAAATGTTCATGACTTCCTAAACCAAGATAAATAAATATGACTTTTACAAACTTTAATTAAGATTTGAACAACTTTGTAACATGTGTTATAATTTTATTTTCAAGTTTAATAAAATCTAGCTTTTTCTCATACTATAAACTCTGAGGGTGGATCACTAATACCACAATCTGTGTGACCCCCATCCTTGTATCACTAGTGCTGGACACAAAGTAGCCATTCAATAAATATCAAACTGACAAGGAAGTAAGTAAATGTTGGTGAGGTCATATATATTATACAACTAGCTATTTAAAATAAAGTAGATATTGTCCAAGAAGGTATATGTACCTCAAAGATATCAAATGAAAGAACAGAGTACACACTGCCTGATTACACTGATAAAATATTTAAGAACAGGCAGAACTTAATAGAAGTCAGACTTACAGCTATCTTTTGGTATAAGGGGTATGCACTAGGGAGGTGTATATGAAAGGAGCCCTCGGGGCACTAAAAGTGTTCTCTCTCAATCAGGGTGGTGGATATGGGGAAATAAACACAAATTCATCACTTTTTTTTAAAATATGCTTTCTATATGTGTAATAGCTCAACAAATGGGAAGGCATTTTGGGGGGAAAAAAGGCATAAAACTAAGTATTGATGAGAAATATGCCCACAAAAGTTTATAGTTTGGGTAAGTTATGACAATCACTTTATAAAACACGGTGTACATTATGACCTTGTTCTATCTTTAAATTTTTATTGTAAACTGACAAATGTAAGAATTATAAATATTTATGAGATACAAAGTGGTATCATATGTATGCAATGTAGACTAACTCAAAGCTAATGAAGATCCAAAAAATTTTTCCTCCTATCTAATTGAAGTTTTGTATCCTCTAACCATCATCTCCACATTTCCTCTGTCCCAAGCCTCTTGTAACCATCACTCCATTCTTTGCATCTACGAGTCCAACTGCTTTAGATTCCACAAATACGTTAGATCAGGCAATGTTTGTCTTTCTGTGCCTGTCTTATTTCACCAAGCATAATGCCTTCCAGGTTCATTCATGTTGTTCCAAATGATAGGATTCCCCTCTTTTAAAAGACGGAATGGCATTCCATTGTATAAATAGAAGCACATTTTCTTTATCCACTATCCACTAATAGGAACTAAGGTTGATTTTGTATCTTGGTGGTTGTGAGTAATGCCACAATGAAATGGAAATTCAGATGACTCTTCTATATACTGGTTTCATTTCCTACATATACTACATAATGGGATTATAGGATCAAATAAAAGTTCAGTTTTCATACTATTTTCAATATGGCTGAACATAATTTACATTCAAATCAGCAATGGTCAAGGGCTCCCTTTGCTTCACATCTTTACCAACATTTATCTTTCATTTTTCTTTAATAATAGATTCTAACAGGTATAAGGTGGTATCTCAATGTGGTTTTAAATTGCATTTCATTAGTGATGTCGAACATTTTTTATAGACATGTTGGCCATTTGAATGTCTTCTTTTGAGAAATGTCTGTTTAGGTCCTTTGCTCACTGTCAAAACTGAGTTGCTTTCTTGCTATTGAGTTGAGTTCCTTATATATTCTGGATATTACTCCTTCTCAGAAGTATGACTTGCAAATATTCTCTCTCATTCTAGTTTCTTTTGCTAGGCAGAAACTTTTTAGTTTGATATAATCATTTGTCTAATTTTGTTTTTGTTGCCTTGAGATTTGGGGGTCAAATCTAAAAAAAAATCATTCCTAGACAAATGTCATTTCACTTTTCCTGCCTGCTGTCTTCCAGTATTTTTAGTTTCAGAGCTTATGTTTACATATCCAATCCATTTTGAAATGATTTTTGTGTATGATGTGTAATACCAGGTACCATTTCATTATTTTGCAAGTTGATATCCAGTTTTCTTAATATCCTTTACCGACGAGACTTCTTTCTCCATTGTGTGTTCATGGCACCTTTGTGGAAAGTCAACTACCTGTAGATGTGTGGGTTCATCTCTGAGCTCTCTATTCTGTTCCATTCATCAAAATGTCTATTTTTATTCTAGTACCATACTGTTTAATTACTGTAATTTGAAGTCAGGTAGTGTTCGTCTTTGCTTGATTGCCTTTGCTATTCAGAAGTTTTTGTGGCTTCGTATGATCTTTAGGATTTTTTTTTTCTATTTCTGTGAAAAATGGCATTGGTATTTTGCCAGATACAGCACAGAATTTTTATTGTAGGTTTCTTTGGAACAATCTACAATAGACATTTTAACACTACTAATTCTTCTAATTCATGAATGTAGTATCTTTTCATTATATGTGTCTTTTTGTTTAACTTTTTTTATGAATGTTTTATACTTTGCCAGTGTATAGGTCTTCTACCTCCTTGACCACTTTGGATTTTTTGGTGGTGGGGGGTGTCATTATAAATGGGATTATTTCCTTGATTTCTTTTTCGGACAGCTCATGTTAGCCTATAGAAATACTACAGATTTTTGTGTAATGATTTTATTTTCTAAAACTTACTAAATTCGTTTATTCTAATAGTTTTTTGGTGATGTTTTTAGGGATCATATAGCATATCATTAGCAAACAATAACAATTTGCTTCTTTTACTACTTAGATGCCTTTTTTTTTTTTTTTAACTTGGATCCTTTTTGTTTTTCTTGCCGTTTTTCTGACCCGAACTTCTACTACTATGCTGAATAGAAGTGCAAAGATTGGGCATCCTTGAAATTCAGTGAAGGGCTGTGGGCATGGCTCAAGTGACAGAGTGCTTGCCCGGCAAGCGTGAGACCCTGGATTCAATCCCCAGTACTGAAACTCTCATGACCATGGAAAGCTAACATATATTACAGCACCCTCGGAAGTGTCCATGAAAATGAGAATTTCATTCTTCTCAGAGTGCTAGAACCAAAGCTGATCAGATTTCAGGTAAACCTCTCTGAGTTCCATCAAAAATCTATGCACCAATACATCTGGAAAAAGATACATCATGCATGTTAAGTTACAGAAGAAAGTGAAAACAATTTACAGTTTTCAAACACAAGTCTTAGTTCTAAAGGCACAGAGATGGAGTCTCTGAAACACAAGCATCTGAACTGCTTCTCAGATGTGCAACTGTGTAAGTCACTGCAAGGCAAGTAACTTTAAGAATTCATTTAATGATGATACTGATTTTCAACAGAACTACAGGAAATCTCAGACAGCAATATGTAATATGCAAATCCTTCAGTATCATTAGGCTGACAAGTGCTCAGGGTTTCAAAATAAAAAAAGCATCCTCAAATCATGCTAAACCAATTCATATAAAATTCATTATTTATAAAATTCCTATGTGAAAAGTTAATAGTCACATTATAACAATTTTATAAATAGTCAGTTTCAAAGTATGTAGAAGAATCAAATGAGTCTTATGTATCCCAAGTAATTCATTCTTTAGTCATTCAACAGTAATGAGTACCCATGATAACATATTGAACCAGGAGTACCTGTTGACATCTGACTAATGTGACCTACAAAGAATAGTAATTTCACATGGCTCAATCAAAACCAAGGAACTTTGCTAGGACACACAGTGAAAAAATAAGTTCCCTGGCTCTACGTCAAACTCACACACAAAGACTCTGTGTGTGTGTGTGTGTGTGTGTGTGTGTGTGTGTGTGTGTGTCTGCAGATGTGTACGTTTACAGGGGTAGACAGGGACATAAATGATTGGCCAAATATGGTTAATCAGATGGTGTTACATACATCAAAGAATAGCACAAAAGGTTAAGGGGGAAAGAGAATGTAAGACAATGGTTGTTGCTATTTTATACTGGTGGTCAGGGAAGGCTTCCAAGTCAACACAACATTTCAGCAAAATCTGATCCTCAGAATCTCCTACAATGGCAATATCTGGTCACACTTATGAATTAGCGTATTTTAATTAAACTTGCAAGCATCTATATCTACCAAGTACATGCCACGAAAATTACCACTTCTGCTCACAGTCTCACTCTACACATAACACAACTTTCATGTAAACAGTACCAACCCATGGCACTACTGGCAGGTGGTGGAACCTTTATGAGGTGCGGACTACTAGGAGGCCTGCCCTTGAGGGAGATATTGCATCCCAGTCCTTTCCTCTCGCTCTTCCTTTCTCTCTTTCACTTCCTGGTCACCATGAGACAAACTGCATCTATTGCCATGTGTTCCCACCATGATGTGCTGCCTTCCCAGAAGCCAAACAGAAATGGGACAACTTATTATGGACTAAAGCCCCCAAACTGTGAACCAAATAAACCTTCCTATGAACTGATTACCTCAGACATTTTGCCACAGAGGTAGAAGCTAACACAATTTTGTTTTTTAAATCTAAGTTTCAATTTAATAAATATCTATATATAACAATATTCTTACATCTTCTGAAGAACCTGGGCCATCACAACCCCATTCGTTAAATCTTCCACTGATTGGCATGGTGTATCCACATTAAATGTCTGGATCTGAAAGAAAAAAAAAAAAGAATCCACAGTTAACTATATAAATATTTCTCAGGCTTTTTGGGGGGTGATTATTTTGAGGTTTAGAATAAACTTTAAAAAGAAAAAGAACCAGGCATGACAGTGCATGCCTGTAATCCCAGTACTCAGGAGGCTAAGGCAGGAGGATGGTGAGTTCTAAGCCAGCCTGGACTACAAAGCCAAGACCCTACAAAGTCAAAACCACCACCACAACAATAAATAAATAAAATCAAAATTTAAAAAAGGGAAACAATTGGAAACTTCTTCCCTTATGAGAAATTTCCTGTGATTATTCTATTTTTGGTAAAAGAGAAATTGTAGTAGACATTGAATGACTTCCCAGCAGGCCTTCTACTCAATCTAGCAAAATGATCACACATTTAACTCCTCTACCAGCAACTGACAGAGGGATAAACAGAGTAAAGATAATGTGGAACAAATATGGACTCAAAAGATGCTTCTACGCATGTGTGTAAATGCAAAAATGATATTTGTTGAAACTGTTCCAGGAATCAGGGAGGGGGATGAAAGAGAGCAGTGGAGGGTGTGAATTCAAGTATGATTTATTTGATACATTGTAAGAACCTTTGTAAATGCTACAATGTATCCCCACCTAGTACAACAATAATAAAAAAAAGAAAAATAAATATTAAATTTATGGCATCATGATAAATAAATTTCAGTGTTTGCACATATGGGGAGTTTAAATACATACTATAAATTTCTTGTTTTATTAGTTATGAACCTTGTATTAAATTTTCAGAGAATACTGCTTAAACTTTTAAATGAATAAAAAACAAACAAAAAAAACCCCAAAACAACAGCTGGGGGTGTGGCTCCAGTGGTGGAGCAGGCTTGCCTAGCAGGCGTGAGATCCTGGGTTTGATCCCCAGTACTGATAAAGAATGAGACACTTCTGGGAGAGAAAAGTCAACCTCCTATTAATGTGAGTAAGTGTGTGTTGCCTCAATTACTACTAGCAGGCACCTTATGACTACTTACAAGGACGCCAGTGTAAGAGAAAGCAAAGGCAGAGATAGAACTAGGTCCTTGTGGTAAAAATTGAACCACTGAATTTAAAAACCTTGAGGTCTCCTATTGTGTGAGATAACTTTATTGTTCAGGCCTAGCCACGTTGAAGTTTCTTTTACTCAGAGCCAAAATATCTTTATATAGATGCAAAAGTCATATTTATCATGGTTAGGTTGAATACTCAAATTTGTTTTTATTTCAAATATATTTTGAATCAGAACTATCTTTGTACTGGTCAACAAGATGTGACTGAGGAAAAAAATGAAGCATAACTATCACTAATTATATCTAGTAACCTAATATGAATTTAGAAGAAAATAAGTCATTGAAAATACACACAGACCACCCTCTCATAGAACTTTCAGTTTAGTGAAACAGTATTGTGGGAAGCATAAACAGCCAGCACAGAGACTAGAGGTGAGAATGTAATATAATCTAGGAATCAAGAAAAGTCTGGTATGAATGCAGAGGGGATGGTAGAAAGAGATGGAACAGAGAGAAACATAAAAAGTGAAAGACAGGACTAAGAAGCATTACCACACAAACCTCTAATAAGTCATATTAGGACTTTATCCTAAGTGAAATGGGGGGTAAGCAAAGGAGTTTAAGAAGGAAAGTGAGGCTATGAGATCTGAACTGTATAAAGTTCATACTGTTTACAGTATGAAGAAAGGATCAGAGGGGAAATTGCAGGATATCCTAATTTACCAAATTTGTATACGGTTAAACAAGACAGCGACAAGGAAATAGTGGAAGTAACACTTGGGTGAAGAGTTTTCTTTTTTATTAGGTTAGGAAAAAAAGAAAATTGCTGGGACAAACTGTATGCACATTTTAAAGTTTTTGATAAAAACTGCTGAACTTCCCTTAAATAAATGCTATTGCAATTTACTCTTACTAACTGTGGATGAGTTTCCACTTCTCTGTACCACACCAGACAGAGCTTCTTCATATTTTATACAGAAGAGTCTTAGGAGTAATGATGGTTATGGAGGCAGAGGCCAAGGGAATTATTTTATAGCTTCTTCAAGAAGTTTTAATTAGGTAAATATTTGGAAGAGGTGATTTGAGGTCCCAACCCAATACATGTAGAAGCTCAGGAAAAAATTAGAAAATGATCTAGGCCTGGTGGTATGTGCTTGCAATCCTAGCTACTCAAGTAGCTGAAGCAAGAGGACTGCAAATTCAAGGCCAGCCTGGGCAACATGAGACCCTGTCTCAAAAAAGCAAAACCAAAAAAAAAAAGTAAATAAATAAATGGAACAAGTAAACATCATATGCAGGAATTGACTTTGATCTTTACTCCATAATATCTACAGTTGCCTAACTGGTAATATGCTAACAACTTAAAAAGAAGTACCTGCTACTGGCACAAAAACAGACAGAAAGACCAGTGGAACAGAATAGAGGATCCAGATATGAAGCCACACAACTATAAGCAACTTATCTTTGACAAAGGAGCTAAAAATATACGATGGAGAAATAGCAGCCTCTTCAACAAAAACTGCTGGGAAAACTGGTTAGCAGTCTGCAAAAAACTGAAACTAGATCCATGTATATCACCCTATACCAAGATTAACTCAAAATGGATCAAGGATCTTAATATCAGACCCCAAACTCTTAAGTTGATACAAGAAAGAGTAGGAAATACTCTGGAGTTAGTAGGTATAGGTAAGAACTTTCTCAACGAAACCCCAGCAGCACAGCAACTAAGAGATAGCATAGATAAATGGGACCTCATAAAACTAAAAAGCTTCTGTTCATCAAAAGAAATGGTCTCTAAACTGAAGAGAACACCCACAGAGTGGGAGAAAATATTTGCCAACTATACATCAGACAAAGGACTGATAACCAGAATATACAGGGAACTTAAAAAACTAAATTCTCCCAAAACTAATGAACCAATAAAGAAATGGGCAGTGAACTAAACAGAACTTTCTCAAAAGAAGAAATTCAAATGGCCAGAAAACACATGAAAAAATGCTCACCATCTCTAGCAATAAAGGAAATGCAAATTAAAACCACGCTAAGATTCCACCTCACCCCTGTTAGAATAGCCATCATCAGCAACACCACCAACAACAGGTGTTGGCGAGGATGCGGGGAAAAAGGAACCCTCTTACACTGTTGGTGGGAATGTAGACTAGTACAACCACTCTGGAAAAAAATTTGGAGGCTACTTAAAAAGCTGGACATCGATCTACCATTTGATCCAGCAATACCACTCTTGGGGATATACCCAAAAGACTGTTACTCCAGAGGCACCTGCACATCCATGTTTATTGCGGCACTATTCACAATAGCCAAGTTATGGAAACAGCCAAGATGCCCCACCACTGACGAATGGATTAAGAAAATGTGGTATCTATACACAATGGAATTTTATGCAGCCATGAAGAAGAACGAAATGTTATCATTCGCTGGTAAATGGATGGAATTGGAGAACATCATTCTGAGTGAGGTTAGCCTGGCCCAAAAGACCAAAAATCGTATGTTCTCCCTCATATGTGGACATTAGATCAAGGGCAAACACAACAAGGGGATTGGACTATGAGCACATGATAAAAGCGAGAGCACACAAGGGAGGGGTGAGGATAGGTAAGACACCTAAAAAACTAGCTAGCATTTGTTGCCCTTAACGCAGAGAAACTAAAGCAGATACCTTAAAGCAACTGAGGCCAATAGGAAAAGGGGACCAGGAACTAGAGAAAAGGTTAGATCAAAAAGAATTAACCTAGAAGGTAACACCCACGCACAGGAAATCAATGTGAGTCAATGCCCTGTATAGCTATCCTTATCTCAACCAGCAAAAACCCTTGTTCCTTCCTATTATCGCTTATACTCTCTCTACAACAAAATTAGAAATAAGGGCAAAATAGTTTCTGCTGGGTATTGGGGGGGGGAGAGGGAGGGGGCGGAGTGGGTGGTAAGGGAGGGGGTGGGGGCAGGGGGGAGAAATGAACCAAGCCTTGTATGCACATATGAATAATAAAAGAAAAATGAAAAAAAAAAAAAAAGAAGTACCTGCTTTCATTTTATAGTTGCTAAATTAATGCCCTATTTAGAAAAAACATCTTTCTGAAAAGTGTTCGCAGCCATTCAATCAATGTCAGCACCACCTCTCACTTGCCAAGCTCCAGCCAGAGGATAAGGGGTAAGTGCGGAGCTCTCTGTTCATCCTAAACAGACCACTCATAAATCCACCGGTGGTAAAGTGCCGGGAAAAAACTGGCTACAGAAGCCGCTTGAGGAGTGCACCCTCTTCCAGAGAGGTGGCACCAGACGCTGTCAGAAGTCAACGGAACTTACGATTCGCACAAACTCTTCTTCTAGCATCTGGTGCGAGAAATTGCTCAGGACTTCAAAACCGATCTGCACTTCTGGAGCGCAGTTATTGGTGCTTTGCAGGAGGCCAGTGAGGCCTAACTGGTTGGCCTTTTTGAAGACACAAACCTGTGTACTATCCATGCCAAACATGTAACAATTATGCCAAAAGATATCCAGCTAGCATGCTGCATTCCTGGAGAGCCTGCTTAAGAACCCACTAGGTGGAAAACATTTCATTCTTTAAAAAAAATTTTTTTCCTCTTCTTCCTGTTATTGTTAGTTCTGATCTTTTTTTTCCTTGGGGTTAAAAGGTAGCTAAGTATATGATTGCAAGTGGAAAACTGGAGGACAGAAATCACGTATTGGCAGTTTTTCCATTTTCATTTGTGTGTGGATTTTTAATATAAATGCAGGGATGTAAAGCATTAATGCAAGTCAAATGTTTTAGTAAACAGGTTTCAGCAGTTCAACAATTATAAATAAAACTGTTAAATTTCTCTGGACAATGCCAGCATTTAGATTTTTTTAAAAAATTCTTATTGATGGCAACTAAATGGTGTTTGTAGCATTTTCATCATACAGTAGATTCTATCCATTCACTACACTGTTCTGAGTTGTTCTAC